AGGTGTATACTACCACTCATGGCTAATTATTTTCTTTTTGAGATGGAGTCTCGCACTGTCACCGAGGCTGGAGTGCAGTGGTGCAATCTTGGCTCACTGCAGTCTCCGCCTTCTGGGTTCAAGTGATTCTCCTGCCTCAGCCTCCTGAGTGGCTGGGACTATAGGCATCAGCCACTGCATTCAGCTAGATTTTTTTTTTGAGATGGAGTTTCACTCTTGTTACCCAGGCTGGAGTGCAATGGCGCGATCTCGGCTCACTGCAACCTCCGCCTCCTGGGTTCAGGCAATTCTCCTGCCTCAGCCTCCCGAGTAGCTGGGATTACAGGCACGCACCACCGTGCCCAGCTAATTTTTGTATTTTTAGCAGAGACGGGGTTTCACCATGTTGACCAGGATGGTCTCGATCTCTCGACCTCGTGATCCACCCGTCTCGGCCTCCCAAAGTGCTGGGATTACAGGCTTGAGCCACTGCGCCCGGCCTTTCTTTCTTTTCTTTTCTTTTCTTTTTTTTTTTTTTTTTTTTTTTTTTTTTTTTTTTTTTTTGAGAAGGAGTTTTGCTCTGTTGCCAGACTGGAGTGCAGTGGCTCAATCTTGGCTCACTGCCACCTCCACCTCCTGGGTTCAAATGATTCTTCTGCCTCAGCTTCCTGAGTAGCTGGGACTATAGTCGCATACCCCCATGCCCAGCTAATTTTTGTATTCTTAGTAGAGACAGGGTTTCACCATGTTGGCCATGATGGTCTTGATCTCTTGACCATGTGATCCACCCACGTCAGCCTCCTGAAGTGCTGGGATTACAGGTGTGAGTCACCGTGCCTGGCCCATGTTCAGCTGATTTTTATATTTTTAGTAGAGACTGTGTTTTCCCATGTTGGCCAGTCTGATCTCAAACTCCTGGCCTCAAGTGATCCTCCTGCCTCGGCCTCCCATGGTGCTGGGATTACAGGTGAGCCGCTGCACCTGGCTTTTTTTTTTTTTGATATTTTTTGTAGAGATGGGGTTTCGCTATGTTGCCCAGGCTGGTCTTGAACTCCTGGGCTCAAGGACCCACCCGCCTTAGCTTCCCAAAGTGTTGGAATTACAAGTATGAGCCACTGCACCTGGCCATGAAGTGCTTTAAGTGGTTTATTGACATGATTAAACAATAGAAGTGACTGGGCGAGGTGGCTCATGCCTGTAATCCCAGCACTTTGGGAGGCTGAGGCAGGTGAATCACTTCAGGCCAGGAGTTCAAGACCAGACTGGCCAACATGGTGAACCTCATCTCTACTAAAAATACAAAAATTATCCAGGCATGGTGGCATGTGGCTGAAATCCCAGCTACTCAGGATGCTGGGGCAGGAGAATCACTTGAACCTGGGAGGTGGAGGTTGTAGTGAGCCAAGATTGTGCCATTCTACTCCAGCATGTGTGACAGAGTGAGACTCCATCTCAAAACAACAACAACAGCAACAACAAAAATGGCCAGGCGTGGTGGCTCAGGCCTGTAATCCCAGCACTTTGGGAGGCCGAGGTGGGCAGATCACAAGGTCAAGAGATTAAGACCATTCTATGCAACATGGTGAAACCCTGTCTCTATTAAAAAATACAAAAATTAGCTGGGCATGGTGGCGTGTACCTGTAGTCCCAGCTACTCAGGAGGCTGAGGCAGGAGAATTGCTTGAACCCAGGAGGCGGAGATTGCAGTGAGCCAAGATTGTGCCACTGCACTCCAGCCTGGTGCCTGGCAACAGAGCAAGACTCTGTCTCAAAAAAAATTAAAAAACCCCACAGATTGGGTGGCCTATAAACAGAAATTGATCTCTCACAGTTCTGGAGAAGTCCAAGATCATCAGGGTGTCATCTGGTGAGAGCACATTCCTTATAGCATCTTGTTGCTGTGTCTTCCCATGGTGCAAGGGGCATACTAGTTCTCTGGGGTCTCTTTAATAAAGGCATCAGTTGTATTCATGAGGGCTCTACCCTGATGGCCTAATTACTTTCAAAGCCCTACCTCCAGATATCAAGGGAGTGGTTAGGATTTCAACATGTGATTGTTGGGATGACATAAACATTCAGTCTGCAGCAGACAGTAAGTTGCACACATCATCATGTGTTTTGTCTCCAAATCCTTCAGTATCTATTTCAAGAATAGAGATAGTCTCTCTTTTATTTTCTTTATTTTTTGAGACAGGGTCTCGCTCTGTTGCTCAGGCTGGAGTGCATTGGTGTGATCATGGCTCACTGCAGCCTTGACCTTCCAGGCCTAGGCTCAGGTGATCCTCCTGCCTCAGCCTCCCAAATAGCTTGGATCATAGGTGCATACCACCATGCCCAGCTAATTTTGAAATTATTTGTAGGGCTCCCTGTGTTGCCTAGGCTGGTCTTGCACTCCTAGACTCAAATGCATCTCCTGCCTTGGCCTCCCAGAGTGCTGGGGTTATAGGTGTGAGACCTATAGGTGTGTTTTTCTATTAATAAAAACATCAGTAAATTTAACATTGACAGCACTCATATTTCCATTTTGTCAATTCCTTGTAGGTTAGGATCAAGTCTAGAGTGAAGTGTTGTGTTCAGTTTCCATGTCTCTCTAGCATCCTTTAATGTAGAGCATTTAGTCAGTCTTTCTTATCTTTTATTACTGTCACACTCTGGGGTAATACAGTTCTCCGCCTCGAGCACAATGTACAACGCCCCTCATTTTGGAGTTGTCATCATGACTAGATTAGTGCTTTGCTTTCTCAACCAGAACACTGCATAGGTGGTATGTCCTTGCTCAGGGTACCACAGCTCGGGGCACATGATGGCCATCTGTCCCCATTGTTGAGGCTCATTTTGATTGCCCAGTTAAAAACGTTACCCACGCCGGGCGCAGTGGCTCACGCCTGTAATCCCAGCACTTTGGGAGGCCGAGGCGGGTGGATCACGAGGTCAAGAGATTGAGATCATCCTGGCCAACATGGTGAAACCCTGTCTCTACTAAAAATACAAAAATTAGCTGGGCATGGTGGTATGTGCCTGTAGTCCCAGCTACTCGGGAGGCTGAGGCAGGAGAATTGCTTGCACCCGGGAGGCAGAGGTTGCAGTGAGCTGAGATTGCGCCACTGTACTCCAGCCTGGCTCCTGGCAACGGAGCAAGACTCCATCTCAAAAAAAAAAAAAAAAAAAAAGAGTGTTACCCAAGCTGTTCATTGTTCAATTATTGGATTTTTTTTTTTCCTCCCTGGTACCTAATAAGCAGTCTGTAAGGAGACATTTTAAGCCTGGACAAATATGTTGTTCTTCATCAATATTTTCTTTACGGTGAACATTCATTGATGTTTGTTCTTGCTTGAACCAGACTTGACTATGATGGTTGCAAAATGATGTTTTTTGAGTCAGGGCCTTGCTCTGTCACCCAGGCTGGAATGCAGTGGTATAATCTCAGCTCACTGCAGCCTCAACCTCCTGGGCACAATGTATCCTCCTACCTCAGCCTCCCAAGTAGCTGGGACTACAGGTGTGTGCCACCACACCCAGCTAATTTTTTATTTTTTGTTGAATCAGGATTTTGCCATTTTGCCCAGGCTAGTCTTGAACTCCTGGGGTCAAGTGATCCTCCTGCTTCAGCCTCTCAAAATGCTGGGATTACAGGTGGGAACACTGCACCCTGCTGTCAAATGATACTGTTCTGACTACAGCATCACGTTCTGATGTGAGCAAGAGAGGCTTCTCTTTCTTCCCACATATTTATTATCCGTGTGACTCACTAACAGCTGGTTTACAATGGTTTTAAATCAGTTACTGTATTTATGTTTGTGCTCACATTGGCCAGTGAGAGTTCCTCAGGCTGGCTCCTGGGCCCATCACGTTTTTGAGCATTTCCTTACTTTCTGAAATAAGATGCTCAGGTTCCTCCTGTTCTTTCCTTGCCCCAGCCATCATTCAGGATCTCCAAGGAGTCCTGTTTGTTTTAGTGTGGAAGGTATTAAAGGGTGCTGGGCATGTCCATTGTCACAACAGTGTCTTTGCTTTTTGGCCCTTTTTGTGGACAGTTAGGAAATAGATGCATGAGTACACTCATACAGAGATAGTCTAGAGTGAAGACCTTCATCTACACACGTACACACACATGCACATAGCATGCATATAGAAATCACAGTTCACATGAGTGGCTCCAGTTCCACTGCGCTCCGCAAGTTCTGCTGTAACTCTCCATTCTGTGTGTGTACATCCTTTCTTCAAAGGTTAGTTAGTTAGCACCCTGGCTCCTGGCACAATCAATACATTTACTCATTTGCTCATTCCTATGATACATCTAAAGTTTTTTTTTTTTTTTTTTTTTTTTTTTTTTTTGGAAACGGAGTTTCATTCTTATCACCCAGGCTAGAGTGCAGTGGGGCAATCTCAGGTCACTGCAACTCTGCCCCCTGGGTTCTAGTGATTCCTCTGCCTTAGCCTCTCGAGTATCTGGGATTACAGCTGCCTGCCACCACACCTGGCTCATTTTTGTATTTTTAGTAGAGATGGAGTTTCACCATGTTGGCCAGGCTAGTCTTGAGCTCCTGACCTCAGGTTATCCACCCACCTTGGACTTCCAAAGTGTTGGGATTGCAGGCGTGAGCCACCACACAGGGCCTAAAATAGTTTATTCTTAATTAGACTACAGTCATCATAGCTCCTTAAAATAATTCAGGATCACCCCTTCAGACCACAGTGTTAACTTTAGGTGAACATCCTTCTAGATTTCTGAATATACACCTATAGATAAATATATACAGTTTTATAAAATTGTAATCATACCCTGTATACATTTCTGTAGCCTGACTTTTCCCCAACTAATTAACATATTAGCATCTTCCATAACATCTCATACAACATCTTTTTGTCCACAAAAGAAATGCATAGCATATTTTGTAATGGCTGCAGAATAAGATCATAATTCCGTTATTGCACCTTGATTTAAAAGGCATCAGTTTTTCGCTATTATATATGAAGCTGGCATCAACATCTTTGTAACTAAATCTTAATTGTTTCCTTAGGATAGAAGTGGAATTACTGGGCAAAGGGTATGTATATTTTTCTGTCTTTCTGAGTGGCTGTATCTGTGCTCTGGCCAGCAGTTTTGGAGAGCGCTGGTTTTCTAGACCAATGTTTCTCAACTGTGGCTGCACATCAGAATCATTGAGGGTACTTTTAAAAGCAGTGATACCCAGGACCAGCTCCCAGAGATTCTGGTTTCATGGATCTGGGGTGTGACCCAGGGTTTATAGTTTTTAAAAGCTCTCCAAGAGATTTTACATGCGGCCAGTTTGATAGGTGAAAGTGGTATTTCATTATTTTAATTATAATTTTCTTCTGAAATTGTTTCAGGCATTCAGATTTGGGAGAAGTAGCCCCAGAAATAAAAGCATCAGAGAGACGGACAGCTGTGGCCATTGCAGGTAAAGTTGGATGAATGGGATGTCCCACTCTGGAGCTGAAGCATTTCTTCTGTCCCCTTGGGACTCGGGGTTCCAGCCCCTCCCTGGATTTGGGATTGTGCACCTCAAAAATGAATAAGCTTAAAGCTTTGCCTTTTATTTTTCCTTTTATAAGAAGATTCCATCTCAGGGTCTTTTAAGCATTCCTCTTATATTCAAAATAGGGTTTTTGTTTGTTTTGTGGGGAACACTTTATTCTGGAAAATGGAGTAAGTGTTCCCAGGATTCAGTTAAACATGATTATCATACAATTTAGCAGAAACACATTATCCCAGTTTTAGCATAACTGCCATTGTAGGTCATAGTTAACGTGACTGTATAGTTTATCTTCTAAACAGGGCACTTCTAAGAGTGAAAGGGATGTCATGTTGGGAACAGGTATAAATTGGGAGTGTCCCAGAGCACACTGGGGCTTGTAGTCTTCCTGGTTATGATCCATGTAGGCTGGTTTTTCCTTCTCTGAGGATTTAGGGGTGAGGCTGTCACACCACCCTTTGTAAATTGACCTTTAAGGTAAGGTGGCCACACTCCAGATATCTTTAGTTCTCTTACTATCTCATTTTATTTTGTTTTATATTTTATGTTTTATGTTTTGAGACCAAGTTTCACCCTCACTGCCCAGGCTGGAGTGCAGTGGTTCGATCTCAGCTCATTGCAATTTTCACCTCCCAGGTTCAAGTGATTCTCCATCCTCAGCCTCCCAAGTAGCTGGGATTATAGGCATGCGCCACCACGCATGACTAATTTTTCCATTTTTAGTAGAGATGGGGTTTCACCATGTTGGCCAGGCTGGTCTGAACTCCTGACCTCAGGTTATCCACCCTACCTGCCTTGGCCTCCCAAAGTGCTGGGATTATAGGCATGAGCCATCATGCCCAGGCAATGACTCATTTTACATATGAGTTATCTTTTATAAATTAGGTTCTTCTTAAAATGAATGTGCTAAAAAACAAAAAACTGTTTTAACTGCCAAAAAAAACAAAGAATGGATATTACTATTGAATAGAAATAGTGTTACACAAAAACAAAAATTCACAAAAATATGCAAATAAGTTTTGGTTAATCAAATTTTATTTTAGGCTCACACCTGTAATCCCAGCACTTTAGGGGCCAAGGCAAGAGGATCGCTTGAACCCAGGAGTTTGAGACTAGCCTGCACAGCATAGCGAGACACTGTCTCTATGGAAAAAAATAAGTATTTTATTTATTCAAACAAATATTTTTTGAGTACTTACTATGTACTGGCATTGTTGTAAGCACTGGGATATTGTAAATAATAGTAAATGAAAAAGCCCAAAGCCCTTCATGGAACTTAAATTCTGGAGGTAGACACCATGGGGATGATTGGCCAATTGGTCAAGGCTTATAGCAGAATTGGAATCAAGCAGTAATTGCCCAGAGCCCTTCAGTTTCTCTGCATCTAGAATTATGCTATTCAACACAGTAGCCACTAAGCACATTGTTTAAAATTCAACAGAATTAAAACTTCAGTTCCTAAGTACTCTAGCTGTATTTGCTGAGCAGCCTGCCTGGCGAGCAGCTATGGCTTGGGCATTGCAAATGGAGAACTTCATCTTGGGAGGTTCCCTTAGAGAGCGTTGCTCTAGACAAATGGGAAAGAAAGCATGGGGATGGGGCGAGGAGAGGGAATGGCCTCACTGGATGCTTATGTGAGCTAGGTTGTCTTAGTTAATTTTAACAATAACCGCTTAGGTACTTTTCAATCCCTGTTTCATTTGAGGAAACCGAGGCACAGAGACACTCTGGTTCTTCTCCCAAACTTTGATCTCTGTATATCTCTCTACTGAATAAACCTCCAGTGGTTATTTTTTACAGTTCTTCATGAGTTACATGAGTCTCTTGAGCATATGCTTCATTTTAAAGACTTAAAGCAAGGTTTTAAGCCTATAGGATTAAAAACAAGTTGTATTAAAGTATACTATACAGGCCAGGTGCAGTGGCTCATGCATGTAATCCCAGCACTTTGTGAGGCCGAGGCAGGCAGATCACTTGAGGACAGGAGTTGAAGATCAGCCTGACCAACGTGGTGAAACCCCGTCACTAAAAACACAGTTAGGTTGGTGGTAGGTGCTTCTAGTGTTAGCTACTTGGGAGGCTGAGGCAGGAGAATTGCTTGAGCCTGGGAGGTGGAGGTTGCAGTGAGCCGAGATTGCACCACTGTATTCCAGCGTGGGCGACAGAGTGTCTTAAGAAAAAAAAAATAATAGTACACTATGCATTCAGAAAAGTACTCAAATTAATAGCTTGAGAAATTTTCACAAACATGAACTTACCAATGCAAGCCAGAAACCATATCAGAAAGCTGAAGAAAACCCATGCCCCTCCCTCTAGTCACTTCACCTCTCATCTGTCATTATTCCAGACTCCTGAAAGGATAGATTACTTTTGCTTGGTTTATACTTTATATAATCACACTATAGAATGTATTTATCTTACATAATTCTGAGGATTCTACTTCTTAGCTCATTCTGTTTTTGCCTCACTCCATCACCCAGGCCGGAGTGCAGTGGTGGCCATCGTAGCTCACTGCAGCTTTGATCTGGCCTCAAGGATTCTCCCGCCAGGTAGCTAAGACTACAGGTGTGAGCCACTGTGCCCAACTAATTTTTAAAAAATTTTTGTGTAGAGACAGGGTCTTGCTTTTGTGCCCAGGCTGGTCTTGAACTCCCAAACTCAAGCGATCTTCCCGCCTTGCCCTCCCAAAGTGCTGTGATTACAGACCTGAGTCACCCCACCTGGCCTGAAAATGGTTTTAATTGCCTTACTTGGAGCTCTCCAACAATGGGCTCATAACAGTTCTTCCTGGGTTCACCATGGTGGTAGGGCCTGGCCTATACTCTGTCCTCGTGTTCCATATGAGCCCAGTACTCCCACTGAGTCAGAGTTTATCTCATCCTTAGGTCAGTTCCTGCCCAACGTGAAGTATAGTGGAGACCTTGGCTCATGGAGCTGAGCCCTCACTGGCCCCCCATGTTTGCTGCTTTGTGTCTTTGCCCAGAGCCCTGCTGCCTCGTCTTCCACATGTCCCACAATCTGCTGATGGCTACAGAACGTCAGGCTCTCTCCCAACCCTAGTCAGTGGTTTCCTTAGTTTGGTACCCTCAGTCTTTGACTACTTTGTGCCTCCTTGACCTCATCCACCTGTTAAATCCACCTCAGGGCTATTTCCCACCCCCAATCAAGCGAGGCCCTTTTCTCCCTGGGTCTGGAGGTTACTCCTGACTCCACCTTAAAACTACTCTCAGAACCATCCCAGCCCTGTGTCTGGCATCTTTACTTAGCCATTCTCGTCTCTAACCATTTTCTCTCCTTGTGGCATTTTGGATTCCTTGGAAAATTTGTTCTAGTGTCTTTTCCTCACTTGAATAAAGTAATCTTTGGACTACTTGACATTGTGGTGGATGTGTGTGGATCTTGTGCCTTCTGATCTTCTCATGCTTCCTGGACCCCATTTTCTTTTTCCCTTTTTCTCTTTCCTGCTTTTCACATGTCCATCTCCCAGAGACGACATCAGAGAAGACAGTTCAAAATGTTAGGTTTATCTACCTGATTACATGGAAATCATGAGAAAACGTAAATCTGAAAACATCCGAATCTTCCTTTATAAAGTTTTAAAAATAAACATTTTGGAACCCAGGTGTTACTTATACTTGGATCAAAGTCAAAATTGTTGAAACATGCATTGAGAAGTCTGGCTCCTGCCTTCCCAAGCCTCTTGTTCTCTCCTTTACGTTATGTGCTTGCAAGCAGATCTAGAGAGCTTTAGGTCTTCGTTCACATGTGAGTATCTGACTAGCACTGCATTAACCACATTCTGTAATTAAGATATTACTGCTGATGGACACTTCATGATGTTTGGAGACTTTGGACAAATAACAGTTTACTTCTAAGATGCAACGCCTCCCCACAGCCTCTTTCCCTGACCGTACCTTGTGTATTTGTGCTCTGAAGTATATTTCAAGAGATTACAAAAATTCCTTATGCTGGAACACAAATAACATTGATAAGAGGTGGTCAGTTTTTAACTAGTCAAGGAATTTCTGTCAACTCACATTTTAAATAGTTTCTAAAAGCAAAGGTTAATCTATATACGTTTTGTGGTTATTCTTGTTTTATTTTGCAAAGTTTAGAAAATTCTATAAAGATATATCCTAGAGCAAATCTGTGTCTTGTGTGTAGCTATTACTACTACCTTGTGATGTATTTTTTGCTGGCAAAACATTACATTTACATAGGAAAAACTAAAACCAATGATAGCACTAAAACAGCCACCATATTGTCACTTGACTTTTTTTGTTTGTTTGTTTGTTTTTTCTTTTTGAAACAGGGTCTTGCTCTGATGCCCAGGCTGGAATCACAGCTCACTGTAGCCTTGACCTCCCAGGCTCAAGTAATCCTGCCTCAGCCTCAGCTGAGACCACAGGCTCCTGGCATCATGCCCAGTTAATTTTTGTTTGTTTCTTAGTTTGTTTTTGAGGTAGCCTCATTTTGTCACCCAGGCTTGAGTCCAGTGGCACGATCTCAGTTCACTGTAACCTCCTCCTCCTGGGTTCAAGCGATTCTTGTGTCTCAGCCTCCCGAGTAGCTGGAATTACAGGCACACAGCACCACGCCCAGCTCATTTTTGTAATTTTTTGTAGAGACAGGGTTTCACCATGTTGGCCAGGCTGGCTGGTCTCAAACTCCTGGACTCAAGTGCTCCTGCTTCAGCCTCCCAAAGAGCTGGGGTTACAGGCATGAGCAACTGGAATTTTTTGACAGAAAGGTGCCAACTTGCTGATGAAACTAAATGTATGTGGTTTCTTTTTTCTAGATTTGGAATGGAGAGAAATGGAAGGAGATGATTGCGAGTTCCGTTATGGAGGTAGAAACTACATGATTTGGCAAACAGATTGGATTGGGGAGAGAGGGAGTGGGTAAAGTGACAGATAACCGGGATTTTATATTTAGAACAATTGGCAGAAATTGCCATCTTGGTGAGAAAAGAGGGTTCTAGGTTTAGTTTCGATTAATTTGTGTCGGCCAAGGGTGCATTATTTGATTGACACTTCATTTTCCATTGCTTTTTTCATAGATGGTGCAAATGAGGCTCAGGACAATGATTTTCCAACAGGTAAGCATTTTCTCTGCCTTTCCTTTCTGTTTTGTGAAAGGGGGTTATCATCTAGACTGGCAGTCCCCCCAACTAACTGTATCAAGTCACCTGGGGAGGCAGAGCACTCAGGTTTAGGATGCCCTACTTCTATATCGTTAATGATATTGCAAAAAAAAAAAAAAAAAAAGGCCTGGGAAGCTGGCTAACCATGTAGGGTAACCAGGCCCCCACCACCCAACATACTCACTACCTGTAATAAGTTAGCATGTTTGGAGGTGAAACCCAGAGATGTTTCATTTTTTAACAAGTTCCTGAGTGATTCTAATGTACGGCCCAGTTTGGAAAGCATTTATCTGGGCCAGCGCCTTCATTTGCAGATCAGGATCCTGGGCCTAGAGCTTCCAAACAGCCTGCCAAGGCCACACACTGGGCAGGAGTGTTTTGCCTTTTACTACCATGCTACTTAAAAATAAAAAGTTGTTCCATGTCTGGACAAGAAAAACAATGTTCCTGGTTTCATTCAGGCAAAGCTGGGAAACTTGAGTAGCACATGTTTTGCTACAGTGTGACTCTTCCAATGCAATTCTTTTGTTTTTGTAACAAGTTCATAGGTCCCCTGTGTTCTGTGGGGCAGTCCTGTGGCCGCACTGCCTCTGGAACTCTCTGAGCCCAGTGTCCAGCACTGTGACTCCTGCTGGTCGTATGGGAAGTGGTCCTGAATCCATCACTTCACCTTCGTGGGAAACAGGCAGAGGGCTGGGTCACCCAGTGTTTCCTTTCATGGTTTATCTCAGCGTGTAAAGCAGCATCAGACATGTTGCTTCCTCTCTTGAGAAAGGAACTGGAAAAAAGCCCTCAGGGGAGTAGAATTTGTATTTGTTTCATGCATTAATTTTTAAAGTGATCGGGCATGCGGTGGGGTTCACTCTTATAATCCCAGCACTTTGGAATGCAGAAGCAGGCAGATCACTTGAGCCAGAGAGTTCAAGACCAGCCTAGGCAACATGGCAAAATCCAATTCTCTGCAAAACAAAAAGCTAGCCAAGTATAGTGTGGACCTGTAGTCCCAGCTCCTCAGAGGCTGATATGGGTGGATCACTTGAGCCTGGGAGGTCAAAGCTAGAGTGAGCTGTGATCATACCACTGCACTCCAGTCTGGGTGACAGAGTGAGACGCTGTGTCAAACAACAGCAACACATTTTAAGTGTACTAATCATATGCAGCATGAACATTAGCAAGGTGCTGGGCCAAGACCTGCAATGGTGCATAGACCCTTCAGAGGTAGCAATACTGTTCCAAGCTTCTAGCTTCTAAGATTTTCCATTGTATAGGGTGATACTTGAGTATCTGCACAAATAAGTGCTCCCTTACTAATAGTCTGCACTGAATATTTTAATACATTTAAAATGAAAAGCTACATTATAGCCAGGCACCATGGCTTACACCTATAATCCCAGCACTTTGAGAGGCCTAGGCGGGTGGGTTGCTTGAGTTTGGGTTTGAGACCAGCCTACGCAACATGGTGAAAACCCTTCTCTACCAAAAAAATACAAGGATTAGCCAGGTATTATGGCACATACCTGTAGCCCAGCTACTTGGGAGGCAGAGGTGGGAGGATCTCTTAAGCCCAGGAGGTTGAGGCTACAATGAACCAAAATCATGCCACTGCACTACAGCCTGGGTAACAGAGTGAGACCCTGTGTAAGAAAAGAAAGAAAACCTGCATTATTGATCTCAGGTTTGCTAAATGGTTGTGTAGCTGTGATTGCTTTCTATGCTTAGTGATTTCTTTCTAGTTCCTTTAAAGTATTCTCTAACTTATTTGTCGAGAGAAATAAAAACAAAAACAAAACATTAACTAGAAAGCCAGAGGAGCAATTCAGTGTTATGCCTCCTGTGAGAACTTCCTGGTGACTCTGAGTAGCCCACAGAAGCAACACAATAGGGAGATGAGGCCTGCATTCAGCTGCTAGGAGTTGCTAGGAGTCACGTGCTGCTCACTGTAGCCAATTAATTTTGAGTTCAGTGTTAGATCTTACAGATTTCTAGAAAGACCAGAAATCTGGCTTTTGCAAAAACTCATCCAGTTGTTAAATGTAGCTTCTCTATTTCTGTTCTTTCTTTTTTTTTTATTTTTAATGTCACACATGTCTGTGGTTAGGCTGGTACCTATTGTACCTTGATGTCAGGGTTCCTGCTCTCTGAAAGGGGTCATCACTGTCTTCCCCATCCTGCTGGGCCTCTCCCTTACCAGCTCTTCCCTGGCCCCTAGCTCAGAAACACAGGGTGAGCACTTACATCTTCATTTCTTTCCACAGTGGAGAGAAGCAGGTTTCAAGAAATGCTGTCACTTTTGGGCCTAGAGACGTACCAGGCCCAGAAACTCAGTCTCCAGGACTCTCTGCAGATCAGTTTTGACAGCATGAAGAACTGGGCCCCTCAGGTTCCCAAAGACTTGCCCTGGAATTTCCTCAGGAAGCTGCAGGCCCTCAACGCTGAAGCCAGGAATACCACCATGGTGCTGGACGTGCTCCCAGATGCCAGGCCTGTGGAGAAGGAGAGCCAGATGGAAGAGGAGATCATCTACTGGGACCCAGCTGATGACCTTGCTGCCGACATTTATTCCTTTTCTGAGCTGCCCACCCCGGACACGCCAGTGAACCCCTTAGACCTTCTCTGTGCCCTGCTGCTCTCCTCAGACAGTTTCCTGCAACAAGAAATAGTGTTGAAAATGGCCCTCTGCCAGTTTGCACTCCCGCTCGTGTTGCCTGACTCAGAGAACCACTACCATACATTTCTGCTGTGGGCCATGCGGGGCATTGTGAGGACATGGTGGTCCCAGCCCCCAAGGGGCGTGGGGAGCTTCCGGGAAGACAGCGTGGTCTTGTCCAGGGCGCCCGCCTTTGCCTTCGTGCGCATGGACGTCAGTAGCAACTCAAAGTCTCAGCTTCTCAACGCCGTCCTCAGCCCAGGCCACAGGCAGTGGGACTGCTTCTGGCATCGGGACCTCAACTTGGGCACCAATGCCCGGGAGATTTCGGATGGGTTGGTAGAAATTTCCTGGTTTTTTCCCAGTGGAAGGGAGGACCTGGACATTTTCCCAGAACCTGTGGCCTTTCTGAACCTGAGAGGTGACATCGGGTCTCACTGGCTGCAGTTTAAGCTCTTGACAGAAATCTCCTCCGCCGTGTTTATATTGACTGACAATATCAGTAAGAAGGAATACAAACTGCTGTACTCCATGAAGGAGTCAACCACAAAATACTACTTCATCCTGAGTCCCTACCGTGGGAAACGTAACACAAACCTGAGATTTCTGAATAAGTTAATTCCTGTGCTCAAAATAGACCACTCGCACGTCCTGGTGAAGGTCAGCAGCACCGACAGCGATAGCTTCGTGAAGAGGATCAGGGCCATCGTCGGGAATGTGCTGCGGGCACCCTGCAGGCGGGTGTCTGTGGAGGACATGGCACACGCAGCCCGCAAGCTGGGCCTAAAGGTCGACGAGGACTGTGAGGAGTGTCAGAAGGCGAAAGACCGGATGGAGAGGATTACCAGGAAAATCAAGGACTCGGATGCCTACCGAAGGGATGAGCTGAGGCTGCAGGGGGACCCCTGGAGAAAGGCAGCCCAAGTGGAGAAGGAGTTTTGCCAGCTCCAGTGGGCCGCGGACCCCCCCGAGAAGCACAGGGCTGAGCTGAGGCGGCGGCTGCTAGAACTTCGAATGCAGCAGAACGGCCACGATCCCTCCTCGGGGGTGCAGGAGTTCATCTCAGGGATCAGCAGCCCCTCCCTGAGTGAGAAGCAGTACTTCCTGAGGTGGATGGAGTGGGGCTTGGCGCGGGTGGCCCAGCCGAGACTGAGACAGCCTCCGGAGATGCTTCTCACCCTGAGAACAAAGCACGGGGGCCCCACAGACTTGGGGGAGCCACTCTGGCCTGAGCCCCTGGGGGTGGAACACTTCCTGCGGGAGATGGGACAGTTTTACGAGGCCGAGAGCTGCCTTGTGGAGGCGGGAAGGCTGCCGGCAGGCCAGAGGCGTTTTGCCCACTTCCCCGGCTTGGCCTCGGAGCTGCTGCTGACAGGGCTGCCTCTGGAGCTGATCGATGGGAGCACCCTGAGCATGCCTGTCCGCTGGGTCACGGGGCTCCTGAAGGAGCTGCACCTCCGACTGGAGAGACGCTCAAGGCTGGTGGTCCTGTCAGCCCTCGGGGTGCCATGCACGGGCAAGTCCACGCTCCTTAACACCATGTTTGGTCTGCGGTTTGCCACAGGGAAGAGCTGCGGTTCTCGAGGAGCCTTCATGCAGCTCATCACAGTGGCCGAGGGCTTCAGCCAGGACCTGGGCTGTGACCACATCCTGGTGATAGACTCTGGGGGGTTGATAGTTGGGGCCTTGACCTCAGCTGGGGACAGGTTTGAGCTGGAGGCTTCCTTGGCCACTCTGCTCATGGGGCTGAGCAATGTCACCGTGATCAGCTTAGCTGAAACCAAGGACATTCCAGCAGCTATTTTGCATGCATTTCTGAGGCTGGAAAAAACGGGGCACATGCCCAACTACCAGTTTGTATACCAGAACCTTCATGAGGTATCTGTTCCTGGCCCCAGGCCAAGAGACAAGAGACAGCTCCTGGATCCACCTGGTGACCTGAGCAGAGCTGCAGCCCAGATGGAGAAACAGGGTGACAGCTTCCGGGCACTGGCAGGCCTGGCCTTCTGCGATCCTGAGAAGCAGCACATCTGGCACATCCCTGGCCTGTGGCACGGAGCACCTCCCATGGCCGCAGTGAGCTTGGCCTACAGTGAAGCCATATTTGAATTGAAGAGATGCCTACTTGAAAACATCAGGAACGGCCTGTCCAACCAAAACAAAAACATCCAGCAGCTCATTGAGCTGGTGAGACGGCTGTGAGTGTGCAGAGAAACCCGGGTCAGGTGTAGGCGGCTGCTGTGGGCAGCCCTGTCTGATGGGGCACCCATGTGGGGCTGTGCCCTGGTGCCTGAGAATGGCTGGTGCCCAATCGACATGAGAAGAAGCAGCAAAAGAGAGTTGGAGTCTCCTCAACAGTGTTAAAAGAGGAAGTGACCTCACAGACCAGCTCAGAGATGTTACCAGGAATATAACAGCCCCCAGGGTAGGGAGACAAGCAGAAGTTTGTTCTGTCTCAGCTCCTGTCAAGGATCCTATGGGGTGGGCCCTCTGTACAGCTGCTCTCTGTCACTGGCCCCTGGAGTGGGAGCAGCATCCTGAGTCACTACAAGCCTAGGCAGGCAGGTTGGGACACTACTGTCCCAGGACAGAGGTGGGGAAGTTGTCCTGAGAAAGCAGAGGTAGGCCTTGCTCCAGCCCAACCCAAGGGGCTCCGGTGGACCAGCATTCAAGATGTAAGTGCCAGTGGTGTGCAAGGCACTCCCATGGCACCGTATTTATTGACTGATCTGTGAAGCCTTCCCTGACCCATGCCCAGGAAGAGTTCATTGGTCGCTCTGTTGTGCCCCACAGCACTTTGTTATACCTCTGCCACACACTTCACGCAGTGCGTTGTAACTCATGTGTTTACATGTGTGTCCCCCAGACTGTGAGCTCCTTGAGGGCAGGGATTGTACATTCTCCAGCTCTGTGTCCCCAGGGCCTGGCACATTGTAGACGCTTAATAAATGTCTATTGAATGAATGAATGCACAAATGATAGTAATGGGCAGATTCTGCACGTCCGTGCCTTAATTCTCCTGTTTGTCAAAGAAGAGAGCAGCATCTGTCTGAGGAAGGGGTGTTTAAGGCAGTATCTGGAATGGTAGCGCAGAGATGCCCCACTAAAAAAAGCCATCCTGTTCCCTCTCTTTAAGCCAGGAGCCATTCTTCAGCTGTTACTGGGGATTGAAACTAAATGCCTTCACAGTAACTGAGGTCTTTCCATTGTCACCCCATTTCACAGGTGAGGAAAAGGAAGCCTAGAACATGTAAGCCCCTGCCCCAGGCTCACTCCTGGATGGGCGAAGCTGGAGCGGATGAGGGGTGGTGCTGTCACGCCCAGCCCTGCACCTCTTCCTCTCATCCTCTCCAGACTCCCACAGCTTCTGGGCTCACCCCTGGGCAGCCGCATCAGTGCCAGTGCCTCCTCTGACATCCTCCTTAACCTCATCCACAGCCCACCTGCCACCATTCAAGCCAGAGGCTTGGTCAAAGACTTGGGACTTCTGCCCTGTCAGTTCTCCCGCTGGAATCCTTGCCTGTCCTGGCCCTTCCCAGGGGCCACTGTGACCTCACTGGGCCTCAGAACCCCACCCCAGCCCTTTCACCAGCTCTAGGAAGTTCTGCTTGATCCTCTGGGCCTTGGGTAGGGCTCGGAGCCTCTTTCTCTTTGTGTGTCTTGACTTGAGAGAAACCAGCCCCTTTCCCAAGAGCTCCTGTTTCTTGTCCTTTCACCAGACTCATCAAGGGGAGCCTTCAGCTCTCGGGAGCTCACGAGCCCTCTGGACTGGAATCCTTTCTTGAACACAAGGCTTCCTGGTGCCTCTTCTGGAGGTGCCTGGCAGCCTGCCTGCCGTGGGTTTCTGGATTTTACAGATGCTCCAACTGCTGCTCCCAGGATGTCCAAACTGTTGCCTCTATATTCTAGGAGCCTGGTTCTCTGCAAACCTGGTCTCCTGCTAGTAAGTTTAGGAAAACCTTTCCTTATTTTGGGCTGTGCTGCAGTAGAGTGGCGAGGTCTCACTGCAACCTCCACTTCTTGGGTTCCAGTGATGCTCAGCCTCCCAATTAGCTGGGACTACAGGCATCCATCATCATAAAAATACAAATGTTTGTATTTTTAGTAGAGATGGTGTTTCACCATGTTGGCCAGGCTGGTCTTGACCTGCTGGCCTTATGTTATCCACCTGCCTCAGCCTCCCAAAGTGCTGGGATTAGAAGTGTGAGCCACCATGCCCGGCCTCCTCCCACCCTTTTTGAAGGATCGATGTTTCAAGTCTGTGAACTGTGGATGGGCCTTGCCTTCAGCCCTCCAGTCAGTGCTGCTCTTAGGGTTTCAATAAACACAACACCCAGGACCTGCCTGGCACATCTGAAGCTAAAAATGCTCACCTTCAGGTCTGAGAAGCCCCAGAACTTGCCATGGGGCTACTGGACAGTCATGTTCTTAGAGTTGTGCTTAGCAGAGAGAGCCACCCAGAAAGGTGGACAGGGCAGCAGGCTGCTCACCAGTGCGTGGCCATGTGCTCACAAGGGGTCCCGTCTGATGAAACTGTGAAACTAAGCTACTACCATCTTGGAGGAAATGGGCCTAGAGAGTGCTTGAGACAAGGACCAAGAGTGTCTTCGCCTCTTGTGAGATGGGGTGTAGCTTGCTTCAGCACATTGGATGTCCATCCTGGTTCTGAACCTCGGCCTTGCTTCCTACTAATTATATGACCCTTGAGCAAAGTTACTCGGCTTCTCCAAGTCTTAGTTGCCCCCTACTAGCACCTGTGTAGGAATGGAAGGTGCTTACATGGTGCCTGCCCTGTGGTGGAAGAGCTAGTCTGCATAGGACAAGTGAGGCACCCATCTCCATGTCTACACCATTCTGCACACCCATGAGGCTTGTGCAGAGGAAGCTGCCTTCTGCATCAGCCTCAAACATTTTAACATGTCAGATCAGGGTTCATCTTTTAATCAATCAATGGAAGCTTAAGAGAATTTGCAGCCATTTTTCCTTTTTTTCCCCCTTTTTTTCTTTTCCTTCTTAGAGAATTTGGAATTAACATTTTTCCTTCTTAATGGTATGTAAAACAGCACCTTCTCACCGATGTTATCTTAATTTACTGAAACGCAGTACCCGGTGGGGCTGGTGTTGTGTAGTCTATATATATATATATAAAATACAAACCTGATCCAGTGTTGTGTAGTATATATATATATATACCTGATCCGGTGTTGTGTAGTCTATATATATATATATAAAATATATAAACCTGATCCAGTGTTGTGTAGTCTATATATATATATATAAAATATAAACCTGATCCAGTGTTGTGTAGTCTATATATATATATATAAAATATAAACCTGATCCAGTGTTGTGTAGTCTATATATATATATATATATATATATAAAATATAAACCTGATCCAGTGTTGTGTAGTCTATATATATATATATATATATATAAAATATAAACCTGATCCAGTGTTGTGTAGTCTATATATATATATATATAAAATATAAACCTGATCCAGTGTTGTATAGTCTATATATATATATAAAATATAAACCTGATGCAGTGTTGTGTAGTCTATATATATATATATAAAATATAAACCTGATCCAGTGTTGTGTAGTCTATATATATATATATATAAAATATAAACCTGATCCAGTGTTGTGTAGTCTATATATATATATAAAATATAAACCTGATCCAGTGTTGTGTAGTCTATATATATATAAAATATAAACCTGATCCAGTGTTGTGTAGTCTATATATATATATATAAAATATAAACCTGATCCAGTGTTGTGTAGTCTATATATATATATATATAAAAAATATAAACCTGATCCAGTGTTGTGTAGTCTATATATATATATATAAAATATAAACCTGATCCAGTGTTGTGTAGTCTATATATATATATATAAAATATAAACCTGATCCAGTGTTGTGTAGTCTATATATATATATATAAAATATAAACCTGATCCAGTGTTGTGTAGTCTATATATATATATATATATAAAATATAAACCTGATCCAGTGTTGTGTAGTCTATATATATATATATATAAAATATAAACCTGATCCAGTGTTGTGTAGTCTATATATATATATAAAATATAAACCTGATGCAGTGTTGTGTAGTCTATATATATATATATAAAATATAAACCTGATCCAGTGTTGTGTAGTCTATATATATATATATATATAAAATATAAACCTGATCCAGTGTTGTGTAGTCTATATATATATATATATATATAAAATATAAACCTGATCCAGTGTTGTGTAGTCTATATATATATATATATATAAAATATAAACCTGATCCAGTGTTGTGTAGTCTATATATATATATATATATAAAATATAAACCTGATCCAGTGTTGTGTATTCTATATATATATATATAAAATATAAACCTGATCCAGTGTTGTGTAGTCTATATATATATATATATATAAAATATAAACCTGATCCAGTGTTGTGTAGTCTATATATATATATATATATATAAAATATAAACCTGATCCAGTGTTGTGTAGTCTATATATATATATATATATATAAAATATAAACCTGATCCAGTGTTGTGTAGTCTATATATATATATATATAAAATATAAACCTGATCCAGTGTTGTGTAGTCTATATATATATATATATATAAAATATAAACCTGATCCAGTGTTGTGTAGTCTATATATATATATATATATAAAATATAAACCTGATCCAGTGTTGTGTAGTCTATATATATATATATATAAAATATAAACCTGATCCAGTGTTGTGTAGTCTATATATATATATATATAAATATAAACCTGATCCAGTGTTGTGTAGTCTATATATATATATATAAAATATAAACCTGATCCAGTGTTGTGTAGTCTATATATATATATATATATATAAAATATAAACCTGATCCAGTGTTGTGTAGTCTATATATATATATATATATATATATATAAATATAAACCTGATCCAGTGTTGTGTAGTCTATATATATATATATATATATAAAATATAAACCTGATCCAGTGTTGTGTAGTCTCTCTCTCTCTCTCTCTATATATATATAAAATATAAACCTGATCCAGTGTTGTGTAGTCTATATATATATGTAATATAAACCTGATCCGGTAGCTGCTCCAACTCCTTAGGTGTGGTCTATTAGCCCAGTAAAAGAGAAAATCCTCTTTCTAAGTCACTAATAAAATGATTTGGCCATAAACCCATCCTGAATTCTTCTAAGACTCCAACAAAATTTCACCAGAGTGCAGCTTTAAGAACACTGATGAGGCCGGGCGCGGTGGCTCACGCCTATAATCCCAGCATTTTGGGAGGCCGAGGCAGGTGGGTCACGAGGTCAAGAGATTGAGACCATCCTGGTCAACGAGGTGAAACACTGTCTCTACTAAAAATAGAAAAATTAGCTGGGCATGGTGGTGCGCGCCTGTAGTCCCAGCTACTCGGGAGGCTGAGGCAGGAGAATTGCTTGAACCCAGAAGGCGGAGGTTGTGGTGAGCCGAGATTGTGCCATTGCACTCCAGTCTGGGTAACAACAGCGAAACTCCATCTCAAAAAAAAAAAAAGAACACTGATGAATCAGGGCTGCACGAGAGTCAAGATGACCTTGGTCCTGGTCTCATGTCATTTCGTCGACCACACTCTCACCCCGCCACACGCTCACTTTGGAGGTCATGGCTTCATCCATGCTGCTGTCTACCTGGGGGCCCCCTCTGCCTGTCTCTGGCCCTGGCTGACTGGCAGACACATCTCTCAGAACAGCCTCTGATGCCAGTTGCATCTCCATTCTTGCCCACACAGGGTTCAGGGGACTTTCTGTGCCTTTCTTGGTCCTTAGCACAATTTCTTTGTCTCCTCATCTGAGCCCATTATATCTAGATCACACAGTTTCTGGGAGTCTGGGAGTGGCAGTCTCAGGGGCTGGAGCTCATGAGTCCCATCCCTCGGTCCTGTCTTTCTTGAGTCCGCCCCCCTCTACCCCAAGCACTGCTTTGGATTGTTCAGGTTCTGACTTTTAGCCCAGGGTCCCAGTGTGGCACTGGGCATTTTTAATTGCCCACAGCTCTGATAACAGGAGAGCGGATCCTTGGGACCCCAGAGCTGACATCAGTAATTACAGCTTGGGACCTCACCCACCAAACCCAGCCCTTGTGCCTCAACAGAAGGAGAACAGAGGTAGGGGGATGGAGCGGGACCTCTCAGGGAAAATGGCTGAGCTGTCTTGGCATCTGGTTTGACACGCCTCCCTGCTTTACTCATAGGGTTTCAGTTGTTTGACCTATTTCTCAGAATAGAGCTGAGAGCCTCTGGGATTCTTTCTGGTGAACGAGTTGTTATTAGGAAAAAAAGAATCAGGAGGAGTAATGTAAAAACCACAGGTTTACAAAGTGTAAAGTGTCAGCAGTTCTGAGTTAGGATAAGTCAGTTGTAAAGAGAACCACCATGAGTGGAGTGATCTCGGCTCACCCTCCAGCCAACAGGAAGGGAGATGGCACCTCACTGCCCCCAGGCTGGATTCTGAAACTCTTCAGGCTCTAGAAGTACAGTGGGGCTGAGGGCTCCCGTTCACACAGCGTGTCTCCACAGCCTAGCCAGTGCTGTATCCCCTGAGCACTCTGGATGAGCCCATAGTGGCTACACTGCACTCAACTAGACAGATCATCTCAAAGAAGTCCAGACCTCCCAGCAGACTCCTCCTCCCTTCCTCTGCCCTTGTAACCAAGAGTGGCAGGCGTGGACTATGGCTACACCCCTTGGAGAGCTGCCATAATCTTCCAGGAGAATCCAACAGCCTTCTCCCCTAAAGGGGCTCTGCAAATACACATTTTGGGAGTCTCCCAAATAAACTGAGGTCAGGACACTGGTTCTCAGCCCCAATTGCAAATCGAAATCATCTAAGGGGCATTTTAAAAGTGTGAGTGACTGCCCTCTCCCCACAGAGGTGGTCTGGGGCCCAGAGGTTCTGTCAGGCAATTGGGGTTACGAATCTCTGCTTTGAGAGCATAGGAGCAACTCTGGTTCCTGGTTCGTGTCAAAGGCTCACGTCAGAGAAAAAGCAGTCTTGCATCCTCGTCCCTGCATTAGGCCCCAGGAAGGGTGCAGGTGGGTCCTTCACGTGGAGTTATCGGCTCCTGGCCTTTGACCAGGCAGTCCTCGCTATCTAGGCAGTCCACGATGGCCAGTTGGGAGCTGTCTACAGCAAGCCATAGAAACCCAGGCCATTTCCTGATCCTAACATGGGTCTGAACCCTCGCCCCCAGGAAGTGAAACTGAAAGAGCACATGCTTTGGAGCAAAATGCCTGCTACCATTTGCTAGTTCTGTAACCTCAGGCGAGTCTGTGAGCCTCCATCTTCTGCTCTGTGAAGCCTGGAAATACTGCCTCCGTCATGGAATTGATAGGAGAAGGAAAGTGCGTCGAAACAACAAATGGAAATTACAGAAAAATAAAACATCCCCAGTCACATTTTTCTGCTGATGATTTAAAACTAGCAAGTTCATACTATACTTACCTGGCAGGGGAGCATACCATGATCACGAAGGTGGTTTTCCCAAGGCAAGGCTTATCCATTGCACTTTGAATGTGCTGACCCCTGCGATTTCCCCAAATGTGGGAAACTCGACTGCATAATTTGTGGTAGTGGGGGACTCCGTTCATGCTTTCCCCTGGAAAAAAACACCAACAATTCATACTGATGTATAAAAGTCATTTTAAGTGATTTTATTTATTTATTTTATTTTATTTTTGAGACTGAGTTTCGCTCTTGTTACCCAGGCTGGAGTGCAATGGCGCGATCTCGGCTCACTGTGACCTCTGCCTCCTGGGTTCAGGCAATTCTCCTCCTGAGTAGCTGGGATTACAGGCACGCGCCACCATGCCCAGTTAATTTTTTGCATTTTTAGTAGAGACGGGGTTTCACCATGTTGACCAGGATGGTCTCGATCTCTTGACCTCGTGATCCACCTGCCTCGGCCTCCCAAAGTGCTGGGATTAAAGGCGTGAGCCACCACACCTGGCTAAGCGATTTTAATTATGTGAAGACAGACGTGACCCCCTTTCCCCGATCGCAGTATAAACAAAGCTAATAAAGGATACGTAACAAGATATTCGAACCCCAGAAATGTCTGCCAGTGAACTGGCTATTGTGATGCTTGGAAAGATCTAGATTGGTTTGGAATTCCGGAGACACCTCAGGCATAATGGAGAATGGCTTGAATAGAGGAAAGTGTAAGTTTGACCATTTTATTGCCTATTGCCTTATGGGCAAAACTTGATTCCCAATCACAGCCTTCTTGATGCAGCCCCTGCCCACCTTGGGCCCAGTAGGTGTTGTGTCATTGCCACCTCTGCCTCTGATCAGCCCAAGTATCTCGTTTTCCTTTCTCCTTCCCCTTTCCTCTGACAGACAGGGTGGTGTTGCTGTGAGTTCTCATAGAAGCCTCAATAACTGGCTCGTCTCCCTAACGGGATATGTGGCTATCAGAGACTCATTAAAAACAACAACAACAAAAGCCACAACTGCTCTCTTCCTCTGACAGGCACATCACACTGTAATTTTCACAACCACCATTATTGTCCCCAGTTTACAGATGAGGGAAACCGAGGGTCAGGAGGTTCAGTCACTTGCCCCAGTTACATAGCCAGGAAACACTGGGTCCAGGATTTGGACTCAGGCAATTTAGATGCCAGATCCCATCCTCTCCATCTTGAAGCAAATTAATGAAAACTTAATAATTATAAAATTATTGAACATTATGAAAACTTTAATAAATATTGTTTGAAAAGGATTCCTTAGGAAAAGTTGAAAGATCTTACATTTGCAAAGTGTTATGGATCAGAGGGCATCTCATTCCTGTTATGTCCCTTTATTCAATACGCAGAACAGTTGGGGGCTACAGTTTTTAAAAATTAAGAATAAAACATTTCTGAGGAAGTGGACATGGAAGACCTTGTCCTTTTATTATGGGTTTTTTGAGAACCCACCTTCATGTAATCAGAGGAGTCTTGGTCATGGAAAATGGACTGAAGTCAAGAGACTGTGTGTTGGTCCCTCTCTCCCTCTCCTCAGTGTGGTCATGGGCAACTCATCTCCACCTTTCTTCCATTTCCCCTCCCATGGATCATAATGCCGTCCTCCCCTGACAGGAACCTGCAGCCGTATGCAAGTACGGTACCATTAAGGCGAATGATGTAGGTCCAGAACAGCCAAAATGCTGGCAATTTCACATGGTTCAACCAAACACAACCCATCATTTATTAATTACTCTCTCGATCCTAATGGCTCTATAAGGCAGTACTATTATTAAGACCCATTTTATAGATAATTGAACTGAGTCTTAACTATACAAAGATTGTTATACATGGGTCTGACTCCAGAGCCCGTGTTTTACCCATTACCGTGGTGAGTTCTAAAATAAAATAGCCAGTGTTGCTATTTTTCCGTTTGACATTAATAATTACTGGATACCGATTACAGTGGCGACTCACTGGTTTGAGTATTACAGGCCCTGAGATGTTCCCATGAATTTCCTTGCTCTCTGGCCCGTTACCCAACTTAAAATGTTGCTTCCCTAGGGGCCAGTCACCAGTAAGGCCACATGTGGCAAACCCGTCCTTGCATAACTGCGTTAGTCATCCTTGAAGAACTGGGTGACGTTTTAACCAAAACATGTTTCTCCTTTATTTATTTGTTGATAAGAGTCTGGAGGGTTTTTCTGTTTTTTTTTTTTCGAATATTATTTGGAGGCAGAACTCAGCAGCCTAATTCCAAGGACCTGGGAAAACGCTTCACTCCTCTTCGAGCCCCGAGGGTGCGGTTGGGCAGGGCTGGGTCCGGTGGGCCGCACACCCATCCCCGGTACTAGCGGTGAAGAGGAAATCTCACGTTTCGCATCTTCAAATTTCCGGATCTGAAATCTGATGCAAGCAGCAATCGTGACAGAGTGAAGAGCGGCGGGATAAGTATTCACAAGGCTGAGCATTCACAGACCTGCGAGGAAGGCGCGAGTGAAAGCTCACAGCACCACGCGGCCCCGCCCGGAAGAGGGCCCGCCCCGCAGAGGCCCGCCCCACGGAGGCCCTGCCCCGCCCCTGCACCGCCGACTTGGTCTCGTCCGCAGCCGTCTCCACCCCGCAGCACGCTGTGGTACGCGCTGCGTTGCGCGCGGCGCAAGATGGCGGCCTCCGTGTGCGGCGCGTTGCTGGGGCTAAGGGTGAGTGGGCGACCCGGCGGGTCCCGGCGAGTCGGGGTGGGGTCCCTAGTTTCCACCTCACGCGCCCTCCCTCCACAGGTGCTGTCCGGTAGCCGAGAGCTGCCTTGCACTTGGCACGCCCTGCACACCTCCGTGGTCTGCGCCAAGGTGAGCACCGCCGGGGCGGGGTCGGGGGCCGGGATCGGGGCTGGGGTCGGGGTCGGGGACGCGGCGAGGGCTAAAAGGGGCGTGGCCTGGGGGTCCGAGGCGAGGCTAGAGTCGGGGCGTGGGGATCTTGGGGTTGGGGTCGGGGAGCAGTGCCAGCTGATTGGGAGAACATGGCTCGGGGTAGGGGTCTGGATGCGGGGTCTCGTGGAGTCACGGCCCCTTTTGCTCCTAGAACCAGGCGGCCCGAGTCCGCGTAAGCAAGGGAGACAAGCCAGTGACCTACGAGGAGGCACACGCGCCGCACTACATCGCCCACCGTAAGGGCTGGCTGTCGCTGCACACAGGTGCGGGAACCTCAGGCTTCCAAAGGGAGCACTCAATACGATTGTGCTGGAAACAAGATGAACACGTGTCACACGTTTCCTTTAACTCGGGAAATAATGCCGGGGTCAGAAATCTATGGAGCCAATTCAAAGGAGACATAAAAAAAGCAGAGACATTTATAGATCAGGATGTTGAATCAAATTTGAAGAGGGATGCAAAACTGACTTTTTCCATATTTTACTTGCATATCTACAGACAAGAATTATTTTGCATTCTTGTCAGTTATCGGTAACTTACTGAGCTGTTAAATAAGCTCAGAGTCAAGGAAAGGAGTGAAGCCCTTATAGAATTTGATAGCATTGAAGAGTGCGTTCTAAGGAATGCGGTTTTCCACTGATGCACAACTTTTTCTCTATAAATATATACAGACGACCCTCATTATTCATGAATTCCATATTTTCAGATTTTACTGGCCAAAATTTATTTTTAAGCCCCAACTCAATACTCTGGACACTTTCAAGGTCACTCTGAGATATGGGTAGAGCAGCCTTCCCCCAGCTGCATGTTCCGAGCTCAGGTGGGCAAGGCTCTGCCTTGTTTCAGTTCTCATACTGTTAAAAGTGTCCTTTTTATGGTCTAGAATTTTGTTTTTGCATTTTTGTCCTTTTTGTTAGTGATTTTGCTGTTTAAAATGGGCCTGCAGTGCTGAAGTGCTATCTAGTGTTCCTAGGCAGGAGAAGGCTGTGAATTGCCTTTGGGAGAACATACGTGTATTAGAGAATTTTTCTTCAGGCATGAGTTGCTCTTGGCCCTAAATTCAGTGTTAATGAATCAACCATATATATTAAGTAAGGTGTCTTTAAACAGAAACAAATGAAACTAGGTTACGTATTGACTTATTAACAAAAATATGGGGCTCAGAGGCTAGAAGGAACCTAACCCTTTATTTCCCCTGGCAGCAATAGTTCAGTATTCACTCAGTGTTGGCAGTGACTGTATAGAACATAAATACTGTGAACTATTGAGAACCAATTGTGTTTTGTTTAGTATAAGAGTTCTCAACTTGGATGTTTGAGATGCATCTAGAGAACTTACTTAAAATACAGATGCTTATCCCCCACTCTATCAGGTTCTGGTCTGAGGTTTGGATGTCTGTGTGCAGACTCTTAATGGACATCGTGAGGGCTGCAGGGGATCCAGGGTTCACACTGAGAATCCACTGGTGGAAGCCCTAGGCCTAGCTCATGAGAAGATTCATGTCCCTAACCTCAAAATAGCTGGTAGCCTCATCTTTCTGGCTCATGGGATGGCCAGTGTTTTTATAAGGCAGCCAAGAAAGGCTGGGAAAGGGGTTAGATGTGGTGGCATCATCTGAGTTTTGTACCCTGACTCAGGCCTCCATCTTCCTTTTTGTAAAAGAAGAATAATGGTAATACCTACTAAACAGAATTGGCTTGAGAATTAATGACATAACATACCTTGAACTTTAAAGCATTGTTTTTCTTACTCTATTAGCAGAAGAGAAGAGAAGAGGGTGGGGGTGAAGGGTGGGATCGTGCTCAGTGCTTTTGGATGTTGACTCTGGAGTTATGGCAGAGCCGTGGGGCAATGAGGTTGACTTGTCTATCATGCCCTTCCCTCTTCAGGTAACCTGGATGGGGAGGACCATGCCGCAGAGCGAACGGTGGAGGATATTTTCCTTCGCAAGTTCATGTGGGGTACCTTCCCAGGCTGCCTGGCTGACCAGCTGGTTATAAAGCGCCGGGCTAACCAGTTGGAGATCTGTGCCCTGGTCCTGAGGCAGTTGCCTGCACACAAATTCTACTTCCTTGTGGGCTATAGTGAAACTTTGCTGTCCCACTTTTTCAAATGTCCTGTGCGACTCCACCTCCAAACTGTGCCCTCAAAGGTTGTGTATAAATATATCTAGGATGATCCCCTTTTTTTGCATCAAGCTGTAACCTGCAGAGAATGGAAATGTAGGAAAGGAATGGAACGTGAGGAAGTACATCCCCTCAGAGGACCGAGGCATGGTCTCAGCTGCTTTTAATAAAGACCCTCTATGTTGTCTTTGCCTCTGTTTTTACTCTTGTATCAGGGAACTAGAGTAGCATTGCTTTGACGGTGCTCCAGGGTTTGCAGGAAGGCTGCTGCCAGTCGTTTCAAGTTTGATTCATAGCTACAGTTTGGTGAGTACCTGTGCCAATCATTCTGTCAAACACTAAAGTTATTTGCTTTCTCTCAAAATGGAAAGATCTATTCAGTGTTACTTTTTAAGAAACAAAACAATATGAACATGTATCAAATTGACTATGAAGCTTTCTTACAATTCTACTCCAGAGAGAACTACTGTGAATTTTATTATATTTTATTCCCAGATGTACTTTTTCACAGGAATACTTTAATGCACACTCATCGATGTTAAACTCTTATTGAGTGCCTATTCTGTGCCAAGCACTCTTCTAAGTGCTTGGGACCCATTAATGTGCAAAACATTTCATTCCAAGATCACTGCCTTTGCGACACTCACATCCTAGTGATAGGGCAGGGAGTGTGAGGCAGCATGGTGCAAGCGCATGAAGGAAGAAGACATGCAGGTAAATGGAGGAAGAGCATTTCAGAAAGTTGCATCCACAAAAACCAGCACCTGGTGCCAGAAAGTAGCGCAGAGGTTGCTGATCCTGACCTTGACCCTCATATCCTGACCTCATGCTGATCGTGACCATGACCCTAATATCTTTAACCTGACCCTGAGCCTCAACCTAACACCTTTTTTACTCTAAACTTGATAATGGCCCTGACTCTAACCATGACCCTAATGCTGATCTTTACCCAGACCTTGACACGCAGCCTAACCTTCACCCTCCCTCTCACCTAGGCCCTCCCTGAGCACGTGTCTCAATCTGAGTCTGACCCTGACCTTGACTCTGATGCTCACTTTGAACTTCACTCTGAATCTGACCCTGACTCTTACCATGACTGTGTTAGTCCATTTTCATGCTGCTGATAAAGACATACCTGAGACTGAGTAATTTATTTAAAAAATGTTTAATAGACTTACAGTTCCACATGGCTGGGGAGGCCTTGCAATTGTGGTAGAAGCCAAAAGGCACGTCTTAGATAGCAGACAAGAGAGAATAATAACCAAGCCAAAGGGTTTTCCCTTTATAAAATCTTCAGATCTCATGAGACTTATTCACTACCATAAGAATGGGGAAACACCCCCATGATTCAGTTATCTCCCACTGGGTTCCTCCTACAACATGTGGGAATTATGGGAGCTACAATTCAAGATGAGATTTGGCTGGCGACACAGCCAAACCATATCATTCCACCCCTGGCCCCTCCCATGTCTCATGTTCTCACATTTCAAAACCAATCGTGCCTTCCCAACAGTCTCCCAAAATCTTAACTCATTTCAGCATTAACTCAAATTTCCAAAGTCTCATCTGAGATAAGGCAAGTCCCTTCCATCTATAAGCCTGTAAAATAAACAGCAAATTAGTTCCTTACCTCCTAGAGTACACCCCATACAATGGAGGTACAGGCATTGGATAAATACAGCCATTCCAAATGGGAGAAATTGGCCAAAACAAAGGGGTTTAAGGTCTCATGCAAGTCCAGAATCCAGCAGGACAGTTAAATATTAAAGCTCCAACATGATCATTGAATGCAGCTTTTCCAGGCACATGGTGCAAGCTGGCAGTGGCTCCGCCATTCTGGGGTCTGAAGGATGGGGGCCCTCTACACAGCTCCACTAGGCAGTGTCCCAGTGGGGACTCTGTGTGGGGGCTCTAACCCCACATTTCCATCCCACATCACCCTAGCAGAGGCTCTCTGTGAGAGCCTCAGCCCTGTAGCAAACTTCTGCCTGGACATCCAGGCATTTCCATATATCCTCTGAAATCTAGGCAGAGGTTCCCAAACTTTGATTCTTGACTTCTGTGCACCTGAAGGCTCAACACCACATAAAAGCTGCCAAGGCTTGGAACTTAATTGGAACTTGGACCATGCTTTGAAGCCATGGCCAAGCTGTAACTTGGTCCCTTTTAGCCATGGCTAGAGCAACTGGGATGTAGGGCACCAAGTCCCTAGGCTGCACACAGCAGGTGAGCCCTGGACCTGGCCCACAAAATCATTTTTTCCTCCTAGGCCTTTGGGCCTGTGATGGGAGGGGCTGATGCAAAGGTCTCTGATACGCCCTAGGGATTTCCCCATTGTCTTGGCAATTAATATTTGGCTTCTCATCACTTATGCAAATTTCTACAGCTGGCTTGAATTTCTCCTCAGAAAATGGGTTTTTCAGCTGGGCATAGTGGCTTGGCTCACACCTGTAATCCCAGCACTTTGGGAAGCTGAGGCGTGTGGATCACTTGAGGTCAGGAGTTCATGAACAGCTTGATCAACACGGTGAAAGCTAGTCTCTACTAAAAATATAAAAATTAGCTGAGTGTGTTGGTAGGCACCTGTAATTCCAGCTACTCAGGAGACTGAGGCAGAAGAATCACTTGAACCTGGGAGGCAGAGGTTGCAGTGAGCTGAGATGGTGCCACTGCACTCCAGCCTGGTGACAGAGCAAGACTCCCTCTCAAAAAGTGGAGGCAGGGGAGGGGGTGGATTCCTTTTCTATCCTATCACATCATCAGGCCTCAAATTTTTTCAACTTTTATGCTCTGTTTCCCTTTTAAAATTAAATGCTTATAACAGCACCTAAGTCACTTTTGAATGCTTTGCTGCTTAGAAATTTCTCCTGCCTGATAACATAATTCATCTCCCTTAAGTTCAAAGTTCCGCAAATCTCTAGGACAGGGGCAAAATGCCTCCAGTCTCTTTGTTAAAACATTGCAAGAGTCACCTTTACTCCAGCTCCCAACAAGTTCCTCATCTCCATCTGAGACCACCTCAGCCCATATTTTATTATCCATATCATTATCAGCATTTTGGTCAAAGCCATTCAACAAATCTCTATGAAGTTCCAAACTTTCTTAGTTTTTCTGTCTTTGTCTGAGCCCTCCAAACTGTTCCAACCTGTGCCTGTTACTCGGTTCCAAAGTCGTTTCCACATTTTTTGGGTATCATTATGGTAGCACTCCACTCTGCTGGTACTGATGTATGACATTAGTCTGCTTTCACACTGCTGATAAAGACATACCCAAGACTGGGTAATTTATAAAGAAAATAGGTTTAATAGACTTACAGTTCCACGTGAATGGGGAGGCCTCACAATCATGGTGGAAGGCAAAAGGCGCATCTTACACAGCAGCAGGCAAGAGAGAATAATAACCAAGTGAAAGGGATTTCCCTCTTATAAAATCATCAGCTCTCATGAGGCTTTTTCACTACTGTGAGAACAGTATGGGGGAAACTGTCCCCATTATTTTCCCATCTGGTCCCTCCCACAACATGTAGGAATTATGGGAGCTACAATTCAAGATGAGATTTGGTGGGGGACACAGCCAAACAGTATCAGTGACTGACCCTGACCTCATCCTCACTCTAGCACTGATGCACACTTTGACTCTGACCATGACCCTCACCCAGACACCTATCATGACCTTGACCAGGAACATGGAAGTCATGTAAATCTGACCCCCCACTCATCTCTAACCCTGACTCTGGCCCTGACCTTGGCCCTATCTCTTACACCAATCTAACCCTGCCCTTGACCTGATTCTCACACTCAGCAGTGCTGACACTGGTTGTCATTCAGGCCCTAGGACTCCCCTGTTCCTTGACCCTGGCCCGAAGCAGTTTCTCACCCTGACCATAATCCATGTGTGGATCATGACTGATACTGACCCTCAACCAGATTGTAAACTCAGCTTGACCCTGACTTCATCTCTCACCTTTTCCCTGACTCTCACATTCCACTTAATCATTCCCTAACCTTCACACTGACCCCAGCCCTGCACGTGAGTTGGTCATGACCCTGACCCTTCTAACCTTCACTCTGACATGAATGTTTTCTCTTACCCTCACTCTGACATTAACTTGACTGTGAGCTCCACTCTATCACTGATAACTGAACCTCATTAGAACTTGATCATGTTCCTGACCTTCACCATGCTCCTGACTCTGACCTTGACTTTTATCTTCAACCTGATTTTCCTCACTCTGAATAGGACCCTTACTCTGACCCTCACTTCCTCTCCTCTCACCCTGACCCTTGCAATAATTCTGACCCTGATGTTCAAACTGACATAATTTGACACTGACTTTGACCCTGAGCCGAACACCCTGATTCTTACCTTTATGCTGACCTTGACCCTGACTCTCACATAGACCCTGACCATGAGCCTGAACCTGGCACCAAATCACACACTCACTCTCACCCTCTGACCTTCAACTTGAGCCTGACTTCACCCTTACCCTGCACCTAACTTTAAACTGATTCTAACCCTAATTCTTTCCCTCACCCAAATTTGTTCCTGCACTTGAAATTTGAGTTTTGTGGGTCAGAAGTCAGCCATGGGTCTCACTGTACTAAAATCAAGGGGTTGGCAGGGATGCATTCCTTTCTAGAGGCTCTAGGGGATAGTCAGTTTCCTCACCATTTCCAGCTTGTAGCGGCTGCCTACGTTCTATGGTCTGTGGCCCCTGCCTCCATTTTCAAAGCCAGCAGTAGTAGGTCAGATCCTCACTTTACATCACTGAAGATTGTTCTCTGGCTTTTCTCTTCCACTTTTAAGGAGATTTTTCTTTTCTTTTCTTTTTTCGGCAACCTTCCTCTGTTGCCCAGGCTGGAGTGCAATGGCATGATTTCGGCTCACAGCATCCTCTGCCTCCGGGGTTCAAATGATTCTCCTGCCTCAGCCTTCTGAGTAGCTGGGATTACAGATGCACATCACCACATCTGGCTAATTTTTGTATTTTTAGTAGAGATGGGTTTTTGCCATGTTGGCCAGGCTGGTCTTGAACTTCTGAGCTCAAGCAATCTGCCCACCTCAGCCTTCCAAAGTGCTGGGATTACAGGTGTGAGCCATCATGCACGGCCAGGATTTGGGGTTATTTTGGATCCACCTGAATAATCCGGGGCCTTTTACTACCTCAAGGTAAAAGGATTAGCAACC